AACATATATTGACTAGAAAGAAATTGAGATTTCTTTAACTTTAATACACATGGATACCAGTTCGAAGAATATTGATCAATGTTCCATATAGTTTTGTTCTATTATCCTAGAGTTGAATATTTACAATCTGGTTTAATGTTTTAATTACCCCATGGATACTACACATTAATATACAAATAAAACTATGATAAATTTTATTTAATTTTCATCATATAAAAATCAATTATTATGTAAACTGTTGTTATTCATTTGAATATTTAAATATCTCCAATTGTGTTTTGATAATAAACCAGTTAGTTATAAGATTTAAACATTGAATGAAAATTCAGATTTCAATAAATAAAAGTTCCAATTTTCTTTCTGGTAACTTTTACTATTTTCTTTCTAATTTATATTTATTGTATCCAATTTAAAAAAGGACATACATTATGTTTTAAATGAAACATTAAAGGTTACTAGGTTATCATTAGATTCCTGTTCTTCTTTCTTTTTTTTTGTACTACTAATATCTATTTACATGACGGACATTGTTAACTGACATCTTAAAGTGAATAACGTCTGTTGTAATATCTTGTATAAATGAGTACACATTCAGTAAGAAGTTATGTGTTTTTCTAGTGTGTCTATTTTATCTTGTTTTATTTGTTATTCGAACGATATCTAAATATTATTTTATTATAAATGTAAAATAATGAATAGATAGCTATTTCTATATATTTTTAGGTAGTTAATTATTCATTTATAGACTGAACAATTCGCTTTTCACATACAAGAACTAGCCTTCAAACTGTATACAAGGTTTTCAAACATTCAATTCCGAAATTAAACAGAATAATTAGGTTCTATTCCGTTGGAGAATTTGTTACTTCTAGAGGTTTTAAACGAAAAACTCGACCTTGCTTGTCTCATGAAATAAATACACATAAATGATTTTTAATATCCTTGGAGATTCTTTAAAGCAACTTGTTTTTTTCAAGTAAAAGTATAGGATTGATTTTAGAAGGAAATTTGTTTTTCTATATGATTGTTTTCAACAAATGTTCAACTGAATGTCATTGTATTAGCCTCGGGGAATCAGGGTATATGATGTTATTTATTTGTAGAATCAGTGTATACTACTATTTCTTCAGAGTAGTGTTTTACAGAAAGAATTATCTCTAATCTCAGACTGTGGGTATTCTGGCAGTTAATTTAAGTGGATAAATAATAATCGCAACTGAAAAAATATATTGGATATAAGGAATAACGGTAGATTACATACATTTGTCTAAAATTTCGCGTTTGGAAATATCAAATCCAAAAATACTTCCCAAAAAAGAGATAAATTAATAATCACTCATAAAAGGGATTACAGTAACAGTAAAGAGATTTTAGAACTAAATCAACCTACCAATATCTACTATCTTATTGATAATTATCTAATAATAGGCTTGGTCGTAGACTAATATTCTAGTTATGACTCATTGGGAAGGGTGCGGCAAAATTAAATGGGGAGAAAGCTACAGGCTTCAATTTATTAATTGCAAGTGCGTCTACAGATGATCATTTACAGTAATTATTTAAACAGCCCAAAGTGTTTTTCAGAATTTGGAGATACAATGTCATAACAAATCAGATTGCTCAATTAGGTTGTACTGGGTTCTGTGTGGTCAGGCCGTCATGACAAGATAATAATTGCGTGGTCTAAGGATGTCACAGCTATTCATAGCTTGACAACGCTGTTGTCTGTAACACCTTTATAATCGAAGATCTCAAATCCAATTAAACTAGAAACAGGGAATGAGGGAGTTTGAAAATATGTTCGGAAGATAGTCTTTTCATAGAGAAATGTGTGATCTAAACTGTCTAGTTGTTGAGAGGGATGCGTTGCACGGTACACCCACTCTTGATCTTTTGCAGATGCTTGACTTAGCGTCTCCAGCTAGGATGTGTTCAGTATAACTAATTAGGTCAGTACCTACCTGTGAGACTTACAGACCCATTTATTTAAAGAATTTGTTTGGTACTACAATTCTCGTCCTCTAATCCTTTATCGATCAGTTCACCTCTGATATCAGTTCGACAGGTACAAACAGGACCTAAGTACCAACTGACATATCAATAAATGGACGTTAACCAGGACCTTAAGGGATATTGGTCATTGAACTCCTGACCCAGAAGGCAGTCGGAAGACGATGATGAAAAGTAGTCCAATTTTGTGTTGTACTTAATTCAGTTGTAACTCCGAACTCATATGCTAATATACCTGAAGTGTCTGACCACACAGCAACAAAACTATAAAATTATAATACATGTATGACTTAGTGATATGAGACAATAGTAATAGGTAAATAATTAATAAATGGTAAGTTTAAAGTGATAAGACATGTGATTACGATTTACAGATTAAACAAAAGATTTGAAATAGTATGCTATAAAAATACAACAGCCTAAGAGCTCGCTAACTTTATGATAAAAATGTAAATAATAATCTTTCTCACAATAGTTTAGAAAGTCATAATTCCGCATTATTCGTCCCATTAAAAGTATGAAGGTAGATTCATTTGACCAGCCTCCACGACCATTAACTGTTCATCTTGGCTGAAGCAATCTCCAAGATTCAGTTTTCACGATCCGCTGACGCTTAATGATAGCTCGAAAACAAGATTCTTATTCTAGTCAGGGAAAAGGTTAACCTTCTGAATCTGTAGGGCCAGTAAAATGTTACTGAGCCCTAGCAAAATCTTTCGGGAGTTGGGTCACTGAATATCGAACGCGCATGGTATGCCATGGACTGGCACATGCGGTGGTGATCTCGCTATCGTCTCTGTACTCATTCTTACTAATATATTTCCATAACAACGTCCTTTGTGTTATACGGTCTTTAGAGCAACAATAGTACTTTGATACGTTGAAGGGGTGATCTACGTTAGATGCTGACCGCGAGATATGACTTCGAAGTTAGCTGGTTCATCAAACTACTTCTATGTAACTCCAGCAGGCCTCTAATAATTCGACATAGATCATAAACGTTGATGATCAACAAAACTAAATACTATGGTTGCTATGACAAACTAGTTTTTGTTAGCGAGTTCAAATTCGCCATATTTTGTTAATTAACTAGACGTTTGTGTGACCGTCTACAAGACCTTGTACCGAAGTCCCACCACCGTCTATTTTCTTCATCTTAAGAACAAACCCAGTTTTACTGGTAAAACATATTTGGTAAAAAGATTAAAGAAATACATAGTTTTCATACATATTAAAATGAACGTCCACGAAGGTCGTTGGGTGTGTCGTAGCAGTGTTCAAAACAGTTTTATATAGTAGTGGGTGGAATAAGAGAGATTTTTAAACAAGCCCCTTTATGTTAACGAGACAGTAAGTCACCTATATATGCATATTATTTTTACTAAATCTCTTACTTATGGTACGTTAAGCGTTCTTTGTCTGGTTTCCGTATACCACATCTACACCGAGTTGCAACTGGTCACACATATCTCACGAATCTCCTTTAATTATTTGAACTTTGCAGTAACCTCTATGGACTAATCACAATGGCTACGTGAATTCATTTACAACACCAATACTTCTCCAATTTAAGTACTCATATTTTAACTCTGAGAACTCTTTGTTTGTATGTGTGTCTATATCTATAGGCTGATTTGTCACTTATTTATTTGCCTCTATATGATATATCGTTCATCTGATACGAAAAGTGATCGACTCTAAACCAAGTGTCCATTAGCTGGCAATGGCTGGTTTGTACACTACTTTCTCCCGTTTATTTTTACGGTCTTTCTGAATGCGCTATGATCCCTAAAATATAAATTTTTCGACTATCCTACCTAACTTCCCTGGTCTCTATGAGCATCGAACTTGTTGCCAATTATAGTTGCAGTCTCCTGACAATTCCAAGTGACTTCCTGTCGTCACTCTATGTACAAGTGTCCATAAGTTATGTAAATGTAGAGGCTTCTGCTGTAAACACTCGTTGGTTGCTCTGATGGCCAATATTCATGATACAAAACACAGCCTACACACTTTTACCATCTTTCATGATAAGAGGAGAACGGACGATTACACAGGATATAAATTTCTTAATGACATTTATTAATCTCAATCACTTGCATATAACAAAAATTGTCTCTTGTAGTTAAAAGTCACATCATAGTCTTGAAATCAGTAAAAGAAACCAGTAACCTTAACACTTATATTTCCTGTTTCTCCCTTTCCACCGCTCTTGAACGATCTACAACATATGTGTGTATTGAAGACAAACAGAATGTAGTGTTTGTATGCTCTAATGATCCCCTTGTACTTAATCACCCGCTTGGTATCGAATTATAAATACAACACGTATGCTCACCTAGTTCTGTCTGGCTTAAATTGTATTATTTCTTGGATTCCTAGTTCGCATAATTATTCGAATACTCCTAACCATCACCATACAGACACAGCTAAAACGAATACATAGGCCCAAAGAAAACAAATTTTGGTACGCATAAAAAAGAACGACTGTAAAGTGTAATCGAAGGGCAACAATGACTGTGCTTCATTTACTTCTCACTCATGAAATTATGTATTTTTTATAAACGACATTAATTTTCATTGACTCATCTTTTATATTCCCTACTACTATTAGGTATCTATCAATTTCGTTGCTCTCTTTTTCCTGCTAATAGACTACATTGATTTTCATTTTTGTACTAACGATGTTAATTTGTGTTTTTGGAAACATACCGTTTTCAAAACCAAAAGGCCTGTTTTTGCTAACTTTGGCCAAGCTAAGACGTTGAGTTTGACACCACTGGGTAATAGTTTAGAAATTAGTTTGTCATTGATAGTCACCACAGTCCTCATAAATGAATTACAGGTATTTTGGTGCTATTTAATTTGTGAAATGCAGATATTACATAGCCGATCAACACTAAAATCCATGAGCATGAGCAACAGGGGAAAATTTAAGTTTACTATTCAGTAGTGAAAACCTAAAGAATGAAACAGCTTTCACAGCCTTAATGAATGAAATTTCAGTGTCCGTATCTTCTTGTTTTACTAATGAACACATTAAGTACCAGGTAATTCCGATGCTCACTACTTCAAATTGATAATATACGCACACACCAACTTGGAATGATTTTAACTGCCTATCTCATAACGAACCGAATTTCTTACCCACTGTCTTTTCCCAAGCAAGCACAGTGAAGGCAAAGATCAAAAGCCATACAAAATGAATAGCCATTCCAAACACATATTTGCTTGTCGGGAACTCTCAAGTGAAATTGTGGTGTTTGGATGAACTAATGATAATTTTGTACTTGATGACTGCCAGATTTCGAATTCCAAACACTATATTCGTTAATAAAAGGGATCATTTCCTTACATTCATCGGAAAATAAAATTGCAGCTTATTAAAAACTTTCTCACTTCCAGAAAAGCATATTTCACTTCCTTAGGCAACTCTCTATGAGTTACTACTAGACCATGTAAAGTGTACAAATTTTGAATGCAGTAAAAGAGAAAAATTCATGAAATGATTTTTTCAGGACATCAAGAATCCCACTATATTACGACGCCATCTCAATCCAATGCATGCTCAAAGTTATGCAGATAACAATCCATTGAGTAGTTGAGATACAGGTCACGAAGATGAGAACAAGTTCAGTAAATACTTGTCTTTTGTCAGGTTTGCTCATGTAATTCGTGCGTATTTCGTAGTGCCAAATGTTTTAAATATGGTAAAATTGGATACATTCAGTCAGTTTGTAATACCACTGTACGTTTCGCTGCAAGTAAAGCAAAACTTTGTAATTCTGATCCTATTAAGTTGAGTGTTTCTAGTGATCATTTATCCTTACCCATGATTTCGAAAAGCAGTATAGAGTCACATGGCAGTTCAGAATCAAATGGAAGTCAGAATCATTGTGTGATAAAAGTTTCTGGCCAATCAACTTTTTATCGTATTTTTCATGTCATAGTACTGAATATGGTTTCTTCTAATAATTCACAGATTTCCGATGAAATTTCTTATAAGTATGAAGTAAATATGTTGAATGAATGAAATTATGATCTAAGATCGTATACAGTTTTGTTAGATAGTATTGGATTTCAGTTCACACAACCGACATATTGATCAAATACAATACCAGGAACTGGGTGAGTCTGTTCCTATTTCAGTTGTTAATACTAGTAGTAGTGAGTACATGCTAGATAATGCAGAGTTATTGTGACATGTATATTCAATGATTTTCGTAACAATGAAATAAAGACCACATTTTTCCGTCGTTGTCACACTTTATATGTAACCACACTTATACTCAATATCTATTGTTTCTCTGTAACAATGGTAAAAGAAACAGGTATATTTGTCTGATTGTATCCACACACTACGGCAATCATTGAGAAGTATAAGCTATCTACGCCGTCTATCCTGCTTTGTTGACCACGGCCTGTTGACTGAAGGTTATAATAGTGTTACAACATACTTTCTGGCCTTCCCACACTTCGCTGGAGATTTGGCCCGGATTATAATTAAATAGTACTATCGGATTTAATCTTTATCATTACGCCGTTGGTGTCACCATGTGCAGAGGAACCTCTGTTAATCAAGTGAACTCATTTGTGATTATCTTAGAGAGCAGCATGCAAGTAATATTCACTTCATAACAAGTGTTACCATTTTGTTATTTGATAAACCATTTATATTGTAACTATAATTAGTTACGTTTTGCTTGACTCATAAACAGACACTTAGGTTTGTAGAGTGAATTCTTTTAGTATATCGTTGATGACTTTACGTATTGTTATACATTGAATAAACTCTTTTGCTGGGATCCAGCACAAAGTCTACATCCAGTGCACAGTCAGACATATAGGCAATTGTGGCGGATGTGGTGTTTTTATGAACCAATGATTCTGTTGTATTTGATGACTGCCTGACTTCGAATACCAAATACAATACGTTCGTTAGTGCTTACCTAGTTCATATTGGTCTAAATTGCGTTATTTCTTGGATTATTAGTGTAAGATCCATTTCGAATGCTTTGTGTGTTTGTGAAAATCCCTCCATGTATATACTTACACTTTGTTCCTATTGATCCTTTTAGTTGTACATTGTTAACTTTTTGGCTACATTTGAATTGTTAATATTTGTATTTTATTATAGTTTTCGTTTTTACTACACCTTCACTAATTCCCCATGTTTCTTCCCGAACTGCACTTATGTTGTTTTACTTTATACTAAGTCTGGGCGGCAGCCATTTTGGTTTATCCTTGCTTTTGATTGCTTGACCTGTGTTGACTGGAATTGTGCATTTTGGTTGTGAATTGAAGCGCTCTTCCGGAATTGGAAACACTCTGTGTTATAGAGCGACCAATTATTACCTTTTGAACGAATCTATATGTGATCTATCCAGACAGGATAGAATAACAGTTATTTGTGGTGATTGGTAATTTTCTTGCATCCTTTATCAACTTTCTTATTTATTGTAGTTTAGATTTGATCAATTGAACAATTATTGGTTGGATAGCTGAGTGGTTATATTTGTTTAGGTAATAATGTACACTTAAATTTATGATAAATTATCGAACCGTCATCTTACCCAATTACTTTGTTTTGGTTTCAATCGGGCGAGGGCGCGTATCTAACTCATCCAGACAGCTGTCCTTCACTCCAAACCGTAGTTTGGATCTTACAATTAGTTCGTATAATAATTCAAATACTCCTAATCATAAAAATCTAAACCAGAATAACATAAAGGCCTCTACAATATCTGAATAACAAAATTATTAATTACTATCTGTAGTGAGATCATTATTTACTCAGTAACGAATAACATAATGAAATTAACCCAACAATAGAAAGTAAGCGCTAATTAAATTACCAAGACTAACATCTAAAGATCCAGAGAAGTATAAAATCTAGCCCAACAAAGGCTCACCACGGGGATTTTCTGATAGTATGCAGTCATAGATATGTTACTGTATGTGGCAGGATTGTAGTATGTGTACTCTCCTCTTGCAAATACCATGAAATGCTGTTTTGTCAGACTAAACATAGAGACGCATTGTGAAGTTCAGCCTCATTTCCAGATGGAGTACTGATACGGACCTTATGAAGATCACATAATACTAAATCGTGAACGTGAGATGGGTTAATAGTGGCTTAGGAGTACAAGCTTCGGATACAAGCTTCCTAGGTTTCCCCAATGTATTTAGAATAATTCTTTACCGCTCGGTATTGAAACATTTCGGCTAATTAATCGAGTAATCCTTCATCGTGTCTACTACCTCAAGAACAATATCTATGTTCTCACAGTAACTAAAACGTTACCTTGACTACAATACAGACCCTTTTTGCTCACCTAGCAGCAATGAACTCGTGACACGCGCGACAATGAAAGATAAAGTTTTAACGGAAATAACATGTTGGAAATCCACCCACAGCATTTTGTCAGACAGCACTGTGATTGACTTGTTTATTCCCTTGTCTTGTATTTCAACACTTATTCAAGTCTCTCATAACGGCATTTTGTGTTCTTCAGTCTTACCCGTCTGGACTTTAGTTATTAGGCTTTGTTTACTTAGTTAGTTACTTAATTTTACTATTGCACGTTACCAGATCATTAGCAATAACACCGTGTTTGAGTAAACTCAAGGTCACGGTGTGTTTCGGTACATGCTTGTCAACCTTTGACAGTCTGCTTGGAAAAATTACCGGTCCCGTCCTGGCGGGAATATTTTATTGATTTCCAGGTATAAAGCACTTGTTTATTGACTATTACTTTTGTTCTTTAGCATGTAAGTTTGTACCAGAGAAACCGTTGACTGTAAAGAATAGGTTGTACCGTTTGTTGTATTTTGAACTTTTAACATAATATTTTTTCTTCCTTAAAATGGGACCGTTTGAATCGAACACGGAGTTTGTGTTTTGATATAATTTAATACGAGTCACTCAGAAATGTACAGTACCTTATTCAGAAGAACATACTCTGGCCTAGTCGAATAAATTTCGGTTCATTAGTTCTGCATTCAGCCGAATATTTTTACTTCGGTAGTTACGCAAGGAATGTCGTCATCGTGCAACCTAACACTCATAATCCTCTCTACTTATGTGATGTGATAATAAGCTGAACTTTACTAAATCTCTGACATGAAGACGCAGCAAATACTCAGTACTCAGTGCGTTAACTTTAATTTGTTCCTTACATTAGTAACTAATGCTTATATTATTCCGATTTTATCGAGAACATCCCCAAAGACTCTCACGAGACTTTCCCTTGAAGAAGAAACATTGTTATGCAAATTATCCCGGAAAACACTAACCCTGATAATTTTGTCTATTATGCTGAAGAGTTGAGGTTCACAAAACAGTCCCTCAAACTTATGAATATTTTATCCCAACAAAAAGCACCACTGTCTACGAAGAACAGAGTTTCTGTGCTTTTCCTTCTCTCCGAATGTCGACTTCAACCATTGAGTACTTTCTAGCCAACAATTTTCCGTTACAGACTAGAATTCATAAGCATTCGGACAGGTCACACTATTCGAGGATTAAAATTAAAAGCAAATCGGAATGAAATATTCCACTTTTCCTTCCATCTAGAACGGATATTTTAAAAAAGTTCAAAGACCAAAACCAAATCGTTTACGTGTGGAGTTCTGTTTCACATTCTGAGTAGTAAATTACTTAAATTCTCTACTCAAAAATGTGATATTAGTACTTTCTATTGATACTCTCAAAACGAGATTGGATCTTCATAGCACTATACATTTCCAGGATCAATATAGGTCGAGTGACCTCCTATACTAACTTTTAAAAACTGAAGATACAGCACAGCAAACTGCAGTGTAGGCATACCTTACACTCTTTGCAAGTTATCGAATCCTAAAGTTTGCTGCCGGCTAAGGTGGTCCAAGCGATATCCAAGAGTCTTTCAAGAGGAAACCTGATACAATCTTAGAGATTCGGAGCAGTATTTCATTATGATTTATTATGACTTGTTTTGCTTATCAAACATACCTAGGTTCATAGTTGAAGTTACCGATGATCCACTACTACCAGATAAGGAAGCCTGTTAGTCAAAAGCTTCTTTTATGCTGTACACAACCATTAGGAGCACTTAGTGGTGTTCGAAAGTTTCAGTTTCAGTTTGCAAAGGACAGGAGGCTTGATGGCCTGTGTTGTTCCATGTAAAGGTGGTCTCTCAGTTGATCCAACTTTCTTTTGAAAGAGTCGATAGATGGAGCCTCAACCACTTGCTGAGGTAATGAGTTCCACTCGTTGGTGATTTGATGGGAAAGCCGATAGTCAGCTGACAAGTAATTTGTTCTGGGCTTGTGAACTGTTTTGGAGTGTCTCCGTAAATTCTCTGTTTTGGAAGACAAGAAAAATGGGGGCATATCAGGTGCGAATTTATTACCAAGCAATTTGAAAAGTGTAATCAAGCCGCCTCTAATTCTATGATATGACAGCGGTAAAAGTCTTAGCTTGGCCAGTCGAGCATCATACGGGAGCTTCGCTATTCCGGGAATCAGCTTGGCTGCTGTTCTCTGAACCTTTTCCAAAAGTTCACTATCTTTTCTAAGGCAGGGACCAGCCGCTTGTACGCAGTATTGAAATTTAGGACGTATGAACACTGTATACAAAGTCGAAAAGACTTTGGCGTCGACATGACCAAAGACCTTACGTATTGACCATAAAGTTCTAAAACCTTTGGCGGCTATTACACGGCATTGTGCAGCAGTCTTTAGGTCTTGGCTAAAGATGACTCCTAAGTCATTATATGTCTGGACGATAGGTAGCTTAGTGTTATTCATCGTGTATGTATCTGTACCTTGATGACCGATATGCATCACGACACACTTGGAAGTATTTATCGGCAACTGCCATGTTTGAGACCATTCAGATAATTTCTTCAGGTCATTTTGAAGTTCTAAGCTATCACCCCTTGCATCGTATCGTTCTCCATATCTTGACATCGTCAGCATATAGCAAGACCGATGATGATAGGAGACGAGGAAGGTCATTTACATACAAGAGGAATAGCACTGGCCCCAAAACTGTACCCTGAGGCACTCCACTAAGCACGGTTTCCCAGCTAGATAATTTAGAGTTCACCCTTACTCTTTGTTGACGCCCAACTAAGAAGTCTTTTATCTACATCAATAGACTGCCTCCAATCCCGACATTTCTTAACCTATATAACAGCCAGTTGTGCGGAACTTTGTCAAAAACTTTACTGAAATCAATGAAGGCTACGTCTACAGGTAGCTTTTGGCTCTTAAGAGCACGCCAGCTTTCATGAGCCACTAATAAGTTAGTGAGACAAGAGTAACCTATTCTAAAACCGTGCTGCTTCTCCGAAAGGATCCGGTTTTCATCGAGATACTTAAACAACTCATTTCGAATAATCTTTTCTAAGATTTTAACAACCACACTAGTTAGGCTAACGGGTCAGTAATTCTCAGGTTTGTGTTTCGTACCTGTTTTGAAGACAGGACTTACTATGGCGTTTTTCCAGTCTTTTGGTAAACGACCCTGCGTTACGGATAGGTTAAAGCATATACCTAAAGGGTTTACAACGAATTTAGCTAATTCCTTTAGTAGCCTAGGATGCAATTCGTCGGGCTTCGTGGATTTGCCCATGTCAAGCTTATTTAGCAGACCAAAGACATTGAGTTCTTTGATGGTCACGCTGTCCAGTGTTTGTGTAGGGGGATTTGTGTGGACCGACGGGAAGGATGTTTCTATGGTATATACATTTGCAAAGCAGTTTGACAATACTTTAGCCTTTCCAAAGTCGTCCTCCACTAATGATGCGGCAGTACTGTTTCTCCATAGTGTAGGAATATTTCCACTTGTTTTTGTTCTTTAGTTTATATAGGAATATAAGCGTTTAGGACATTCTATGGATTCCTTAACAATTTTTCTTCGTACAACTTTCTAGACTTACGGAGAGTCGGGGTACAGGTATTCCGAGATTTCGTCTTATCAGTCCCCATAAGCCTAAATCTATCCCAAATGTTTCTTCTCTTACGGAGGATGCGAACCTCCCTACTGAACCATGACAGAGGGTTTCCCGGCCCCTTTGGTGTAGTCCAAGGAATATGGAGTGCGGTAACTTTTAGGTATAAATTTCGAAATACGTCCCATGCCGTTTCAATTGAGGGCTCTGAGTCTATTGTCCAATCTACTGACGATGCTGAGTGCATGGTATCTTGTATGTTTGCTTTCCAGAAGTTAGGTCTGGATTGAGCTGACGCATGCGCATGTTCGACAATTATATGCAAGTCGAAGGTTGGAACTACATGACCCTTTTTGCCGAGGGGTAGCATATAGTCGAGGTTCCCAACGTCATCCTCATAGTGAGTCAACATAAGATCTAGTAAGGGTGATTCGGAGTCCGGGTCGTACGTAGTCGCTTCTTTCACATGTTGCACTGGGGCACATGTTAAAACCACATCAACTAGTTCCTTCTCGAAGGAATTATCTGACAATCCAGTCTACCGTTGGTGCATTAAAGTCCCCTAGGATTAGACATTGACCACTTTGTGACCAAGTATTGAGACTGCTTAGCAGGACCTCATTCACCCCACAGCTTCGACTGCGACAGACCAAACCAAGCAGTAGATCTTGTCCCATGCATTTCAAGCGGCAATTTACTAATTTACACGTCCCACTTTCATGGGATACACTGTCGATAATGGCAAATTGGATGGCATTCCTAATGAATAGAGTTTAAGCAGATTGAAAACTGTACTTCGCCTCAATACCATGTATCCTTACCAAATCCTGCAGAAATAATCAGAAAATTGTAGGGTCACCTGCAATACATTCGCTACCGAAAATAGAAATGTAGCACGTTGTATTATTGTTTCTTCGGAAGCAGGAACGATTTGAAACAACAACACAACAGTCAGAACTGGCGTGAACGCGGCGTACTGGCACAACAGAAATATACTTAAAAATCGAAAGACGCGGTTCGAGTACAAAAAGGGAAGCTTATTACAGAATGGGTTTATTCATTGTTCTGCAGGTTCAGCCTGAGTAAAGCTTGTTCCTCTTCTTCTAGTACGATCAATCTTTGTTATCCTGCAATAAAGAAAACAAACTCACATTAGTAACGTCATATGTAATGATTTTTATTACCGTTACAGAAACACCGTTCTAATTTTCCGCTCATCACAAGTAAAACTGATATTGGAAACTGGATATCCGCGGGAGTTTTGAAAGTCACTCGATTAACCAAACAACTGAGGGTATGTCTATGCATCGTCCAATCATTGTCAGACTTTCAAACAACAATTATTACCGTGGTATTTTTTTAGTATTTTGTCGTTCCCTTTCGATACACATCTTATGGGCCTTTTGCATCACCTGGGTCAACAATTTAAGATAATGCGTAGTGGCCATACTTATATATAGACACTTAGAACAGTTCAAAATCATAGAATCACTGACAAGTTAGGTTAGTTCATATTGCGTGATAAGCGACCAAACCATAAAACCCAGGGCTGGCTTGATATCATAGAACATTGCTTAGTTTTGACTTCGGACGCCTCATCATACATTCATTAATTCACTGTTACATTGTCCTACAGGCATATGTCGAGTCGAATCAACATTTCTTTTTCAATTAATAATAAAGTTGCAAGACAGTGGCCCCGTCTTTCTAACGTTAAGATATTCAGTGTGTACCGTCAGGGATATGAAGTCAAAGTCTTACCTCCAGTTGAGGGTTGATAAATCTCAAATAAATATATGCTTCCATGTCACTATATTAGGGAGAAGAGTCCAACAATAATAACACCGATGATAATGGTCCAACTTACTCAGCCTCATTCTACATCATATGACAAGACAGATCCGTTATTCACCTGGCTAGATCTACTTATTATTATTTTTATTTGAACACATGAACATTGGTACAAGGAGGCACCAAGTAGATATGCGCCACATGGATCATTCGATTTTTGTGAGGGCTGTGGTACTGTCCGGGTGCCCAGACCGAGACAAGTGGTTTTCTTAGGAGGCCACACCCCGAGCCTTTGACCCTAAGGTCTGATCCACAAGGCAGTGGAGCATCGTGAGGAGATGCAGTCCCATGGAAGCCGGTGACCAAGGAATCGGTTCATACGCCACTTTTTCCCACAGGACACTGGAGCCCATGTGCAACATTGGTTTGAAATCCGGTTAATGCGCCAGACATTCGCTTTTCGTCCTTTCAGTTTTGTAAACAACCCCGCACGAGAAGGCAGTGAGTAGGACTTCCCTGGCAGAGGCTGTATACGCGTGGCCGTGTGAGAGCATTTCGAGAGAGGGCGGGCCCACCCGACTCTCGGCCATACCAGGGCATTTTGTATATATTGTACAGTGAGAGATGACGGTCACTGGTGTCAAGTTTAGTCACCAAGATTGTTGGCCAAAGTGTAATAATTGAGTCGAATTTAAAGGTTGCGCAGTTATGACAGTATAAGGACTTTCGTACTGTCATTACTGCTTCATTTATTTCGACTTCTTTGCTATTCACCTTGTTATTTTCACTTAGTTATCCCAATGTGGTATGGGGGCTTGGGTTAACTCATATTTGTGTCGGGCTCTACGTTAACTATGACTGAGCGACTGTGAAAGCTTCAAGTTTGCCTCATAATGTTGGCCAAACTACCGTCCATCAGCCCATAGAAAAGCTCAGCATTTGGCTGCTCGCAGCCTTCATCATGAAATTAGATTAAACATGACCTAAAGATCTCGAGGGCCGGAAAACCATTTATGTGTAGCTGTCATACCTTGTCTAAGACATCTCAGATGTGAAGTCGATAAGCTTATAGTTTTCTTGCCTTAGAACATTAGTTTTATCCAGTTATTTGTAGAGAACCGATATTAAATAAATCTACTTTTTATAAACCTTAGAAGTTTACTAAGTAAAACTAATTCATGGACGACCTTTGAGCGACGCTGAAGTGACCTTAGAAATGTTCACCTACTTGCTATGGTCAGCCAAAACGCTATTTAGGCAGATGAATAAGTGAATTTCGTGTCGAATTCCAAAACCTATTATCTTAAATCTATTTGGTTCGTCCTTAAATCATAGTCTCGCCGTCAACTGCTACCTGTAAATATGTCCCGTCAAGTGAAAAGTGGTTGGTCCCAATGATATTTCTAAACTGTTTTCCTATTAATGCTGTGCAGATGAACATGTTAGCGGTAGCTGATAGGTCTAAAAACATCACCAAACAATTCAGCCTTCACATACGGGTTGACTCGTTTATGGGAATCAAGACTGAACATGATTGAATTTTTACAACCTACATGATCACCTGTAAACCTGAACCTTTACCTATCATCTGCAAATTTACTAACTACTGTGCAAGTGATCCCCTGATTATTGATCATATCTGTTTTCTTGCATGTTCTCCCCACTTAAATACATATCAACTAAACTTGTGCTATCAATACTTTTTCAGCACCCTAGCTTATCCATTAATATCTCCCAAGCACCAGTTCTTCAGTTTCTGTGGTCGTCAGGCCTATAACTGGGTAGATTAAGTGCGTGGCAATTTGGATGGGAACTGTTCTTCGGTGTCAACCATGGAGCCAGGTAACTACATACAAATAGATAATAATCTGTTTGCATTCAGTGACTTTGTCGCAGATCTTTAACGATCCGTTGTTTAATGACATTTCCGAAAGTTTTTTGGATGGAATCGATGTAAACGATTTCTCTTTCGATGTGTCTACATTTTTCGATAGCCCTGATGCGAAAAATATGGATGATGAAGCTGTCTCTAGCCGGTCTGAGAAGACGACTTTAGAATCACTTCTGAAGTCTGAACCAACTTCAGACGTTTCTACAACAAATACAGGTTAAACCAATTAACTTCATGACATGATTCTTTTAGGGCTGCAACTATGGGAAAATGAACATAACAAACAGAATTTCTCTTGGGAAATTCCATCTGTCCATCGTTCTACATTCCCTCAAGTAAAGGTAGATGGTCATGTTTGTGCACCCACTCAGCGTACATATGAAGTACCACTAATATCCAGGCTATTATGCGATTCTGAAATCCAAACTCTTAATAAAAATAGGGTAGACTCAAGTAAGTCGTGTCCCATTCAATACTCTTCGAGCAGCTCAGGTGCTGAGAAGACACACTTTGTGATCAACAAGAATGAAGAAGGTAAGTGTCTTTAGATTATTATTCATTTTGACAATTTTGTTCTGTCCTGATGTGGTGCGGTAGCTTGAACCGACCCACGTATGTACCAGGTTCTGTTTTGTTTATGATTTATTTATTTGAACACATAAATATTGGTATATAGGGGCACCGAATACGTATGCGCTACAGAAGTCACTTGATTTGTGTGTGATTTATTTATTTATTTGGACACAAATATTGGTACAAGGGGGCACCAAATATATATGCGCCAATGAGAATTCGAAGAAAAAAAGAACAATAACGAATAGATTAGTGTAAGATAGTGTAATAATATTAATAATAGTAATAATGGGGAACCGGAAAGGTACAATCAGAAGAAATCTTTCAGTTAATGAAGATACAACCATTTTTTTATAAAGTAAAAGAAGGTTACAGCAGGATCGCCACTGGCTTCTATTCTGAGCCATATCAGATAACGTCTCTAGCCACTGTGTCGCATCATCACTCGGACCCCAGCCAGAGAGTAGTGAAGGACCAACACAAGCCAGCCCTTTGCAGTTTTCTTTTATACCACGACACCAGGTCATACACTGACCACCCCTTCGCTTTTCCCAACCAGTCCCAGCGTCGGCAATTAATGCACGCCGTGGAATTCTCTGAGACAACATTCGTAGAACATGTTCAAGCCACCAAAGTTGATGTTTCAAGATGGCGACACGAATTGGATTATCGTCTCTGTGCTCGAACACACGATGTCGACCCTCTGCATTACTGACATGGTGTTGCCACTGGATGTCAGCAACCCTTCGGAGACAACGATGATCAAACACAGAGAGTCGTCTAACATCCTCAACTCGGAGAGGAGCTGTGGTACTGCCCGAGTGCTCAGACCGAAGCAGGTGGTTTTCTTAGAGGGTCACACCCGGAGCCTTCGACCTAAAGGTCTGACCCACAAGGCAGTGGATAAACGTTATATATGAATACTTTCTTTCCAGACCCTGTTTCTTAATATTTTCCATCTTAAAAGTGTGCTGTGCTTTATAATGTTTTCACCATAACGTCCATGTAACGTTGTTTTTGAGATATGTTCGATGAAATTTCGACTATACGAACTTGTGGTTTGAAGGCGAAGTCGTGGTGCCCGCTGTATAATGTGACGATAGTAAGGCATTTTCCTCGGACAACCAGCTTCTGCAGCAATGCTGCCTTCTGATAAAGGAATGAAGGTTCGAGAATGTCGATCCTACAAATAGTATTTCAGAGAACAGTTCAGTTGGCCTTCAGCTATTCTACAACTACCCTCCATTCCCAGACAGTGTGAATGGAACATTGAAGTAGGTCCCCCAACTCTAGCAGAAGTTCAAAAGGCTATAGTTAATCTGAAACGAGGAAGGGCAGCCGGTCCAGATGGACTGGCTCCAGAGGTCTTTAAGGATGGTGGGCCAATTTTAGTGATTAGGTTGACTAATATTTTAGCTAAAATCTGGGAGTTAGACGTTATTCCATCTAACTGGTCACAATCACTTATCGTCCCAATATATAAGAAAGGGTCAAAATCATCCTGTGACAACCACAGAGGGATTAGTTTAACTAATATAATATCTAAAATACTAGCCTCGATAATTATCAGATGCCTAACTAAGACTCGTGAACTGCAAACACGAGAGAACCAAGCTGGCTTTAGACCTGGTCTTGGCTGCATCGACCACATATTCACCATTCGTCAGATTCTAGAACACAGGCATACTTATCGACGTCCGACAATGGTGGTCTTTCTCGACTTAAAAGCAGCATTTGACTCTGTAGACCGCGAGACTCTGTGGCAGTGTCTGTCATTGAAAGGCGTACCTCAGAAGTACATAAACCTTGTGAAGGCTCTTTACTCGAACACTACTAGTCGAGTCAGAGCTTATGGCGAATTGTCATCTACTTTTGCAACCTCAAGTGGTGTCCGTCAAGGCTGTCCACTTTCCCCATTTTTGTTTAATTTCATCATAGATCTACTGATGGAAATAACTTTCTCGTCGACTGAGTTCTCGGGTATTGATCTCCATCCAGGAGGTCCACTTATCGACTTAGAATACGCAGATGACATAGTCCTGTTTGGTGAAGACGCTGACAAAATGCAGAGTCTTCTGGTAGCACTGAGCAACAATGCCAGGATGTTTGGAATGCGCTTCTCCCCCTCTGAATGCAAGTTGTTGCTTCAGGACTGGTCTGCGTCAACACCGGAACTAAGGATAGGGAGTGAAGTAGTCGAACGCGTTGACAACTTCACTTATCTTGGAAGTCTGGTCAGCCCTAATGGGTTGGTGTCTGATGAAATCTCAGCACGGATTCGAAAAGCTCGATTGGCTTTTGCCAACTTACGTCACCTATGGCGGAGGCGAGATATCCGTCTATCAATAAAAGACGAGTATACTGCTCGGCAGTCCGTTCTGTTTTAATTTACGGCAGCGAAACATGGCCATTAAGAGTAGAAGACACTCGTAAGCTATTAGTATTTGACCACAGATGCCTTAGAAATATTGCTGGCGTCTGCTGGGATCACCGGGTAAGTAATAGTGAGGTTAGACGCAGGGTATTAGGGAATGATGGTAAATCAGTTGATGAGGTTATGAATCTTCATCGACTGAGATGGTTGGGCCACGTGTTACGTATGCCTGAATACCGATTACCACGACGTGCAATGCTATCCGGTATTGGAGATGGTTGGAAGAAAGTTAGAGACGGCCAAACCAAAACGTGGCATCAGTGCTTGAAGTCACTAACTTCTAGTCTGAGCCATGTTGGTAGATGAAAACTACTTGGTTGTGGTCCTCGTGACTATCGTAACCAATGGTTGGAGACTCTTGGTGACATGGTTCAGAATCGATCACAATGGCGTCGGTGTATACACTCTCTATCTTCCCTTAAACTAAGAGATTAAAATCGCTTCATATCTTTCTTTCTACGAACCAATTTTTTCTTGTACTATATCTCTATATGCAATCTTTCTCTTATATATTACCACCTCTGAATTAACTATTTTTATGAGTCCGGTGTCCATCTTGTTGTGTTAATGAGGTATGGCAACTTGGACCGATGCATAAATGTGCCTGGTCCTACGTTGTAGCTGACTGACTGACTGACAAAAAGTCTTCAAGTATCCTCAACTCGAAGAAGTTTAGTTTCGATAGTATCGAGCTGAACTATTACCGATGTGTTGTCACACCAGGCTTTTACAACCAGACAAACATCACGATAACTCTAGAAATGATCCAGGTTGACTTAAGCTGCTCTGGCTTCCACTGTACGTATATTAACCCCTAGTAATACTACTCTTGTTTTTTGATTACTCATTAGACCGATCCGAGACGAAGCACATGTTTTGGCCTTTAAAACATTTCTCGTTAATGATGTTTTAACATAATGGGGTCATGAAGTTTGTGGAATTTTCGTAATTTAAACTGATATTAGCTAAACGATCGTTGAAAACCAAGACTCACTAGATGTCTGTGTCATCTTAGTATGGGGATCCTTATCAGTGTTCATCCACAACCCCACTGGGGATCGAACCCAATGATCTCCGGCCTCACGCTTAAACACTTAACCGCTAGAACACTGAGCCGGGACCTAATGGTACATACGTCGAACTTCAATTATCTGTATTGCCTGCGGTTGATAACTTTTAATCATGTAACTTGTTTTCTCACTACATTGTATTCAAAATCTTTTCTGGCTTCTGTATTTACTGACCTGTCGGTATTCTTTACATGTTTATTTTAAGACAACAAGGTAAATGTAGAGCAATGTGAACAAAAACATGAAACCATTAAACGAGCACCTCATAATGCTATTGAGAAACGTTATCGTGCCAGTATAAATGGGAAAATTGATGAACTCCGTAGGCTTCTAACGCCTATATCATCTACTGATGTTAAAGTAAGTTATGAATTTTTCGTTGTTAAGAATCTATCTAAATGCTAGCTGGCTGTTGGATTGTTAATCGGATAAAATATGATTGTGTACCATAGAACTTAATTAATGGCCATTAATCGTGCATAAAGCTGAATACATTTTATGCTGGAACTAATAATGTCGGTACTTGAACATTTTCACTCGATGATTATGGGTTGAACGTCTAGACCAGTAGTAATCTGCAATTGCACCGCTCATCCTAATGTGTCATCTATTTTTGTGGATTGCGTGGTAACACTTTTCAACCGCATTTTTATTAATTATACTAACTGTTATATTCAATTATATTATTTTTCTACCGTGTTTCTTTGAATAAACACTGTTTGCCCGCTATCTTACACTTTTGAGTATATTTCTTACGAGCAGTTCATTTTTGTGTAAACATTGCTTCTTAAGTTAAATATATACATTAG